GTCCAACTCGGCTTGCTGCGATCGCGGTGCGGCTCTCCTTCTTTCGGCAGCTTGCTGTCTTTCCTGGAGGAAGCGTTCTTCCTCGAAGGCGAGTTCTTCAGCATAACGCTCGACATCTTCGTAATAGGTTTCTTTGCGAGCGGTCTGATCCTGCCTTGCAGCTTCCTGCCTTGGTTCGRGTGGTTCATCAGGGCTATCCTCTTCGACATCGTCTTCAAGGTCGACCATTGATGTTGACCCACCAGCTGGCGCCGATCCGTCTGGTAGTGRCGATTTMCRAGRTGTCGCTGCATGCTTGTTTACARCTCGRCCYTGGCTKCCYGGGGTTGGGTCAACATTCAGATTGATTCGACGGACCCTAGGTGCCTCCATAGGCGTTGAGAAGTTTAGCATTGTCGGAGTGACGCGATCTGTTGCCTGCGGCGCAGGTCTTTTTCCTCTTCCGCGGCTTGCCGTGACGAGGGAATCCATTCGCCTGGTTAGAGTATTGTTGAAGATGTCTTGCTCCTTTGACTTCTTAACTAGCTCGTCGAACATTTTCTTTATCTGAGKCAAAGGGTCGAGATTTTCTTCCGTGGCAGGCGGCGTCTGCATCTGTGTAGATCCGTCTGCTGCGATGTTTTTCTCTCCGGGCTTGTCTGTCGCGGCATCCTTCGCTGCTGACCTGTCTGTGATGAGTTCTTTTCGGTTGCTGCCGCTGTTGTCTCCGTCGATGGTCATCTCTTCCGATCTCAGCGTGGTGGTGCTTGTTGAGTAAGAAGCTTTACTGTCCCCTTAGATGGCTCCAAATTGTGGCGGTCGAATCTCACAATTAGAATCTAAGTGATTCTTTAGGGTTTGTAAAGTTCTGTGGAAAGCAAGCAAACACAAAGATCTCAAGAGAGTTTTTATTAGCTGTGAAGAAAGCTGTTACAAGAGTTTTTTGCTAATGAATTCCGATCCCCTTTTTGGGTGATAATGAGGGACTATATATAGTACTTCTAAGTAAATGGGTCAGCTAATAAAATAGATCTGGCCCATTAAGCAATATATCTAATTTAGTCCCATTATTCAATTAAGCCCATTTTGCTTATGGATTTAATATCATTTTGGGCCTAGATTCAGACTGGGCCTTTGTAGACTTGCTTTGATTTCGTCAAGACGTTGTGGAGTTGATCTCATCGCCATATCGATCTCATAGGGGTGAAATCCGACCCCCACAAAAAGCTCTAACTCATGCAGAACGGGCCAAACAGTCCGCTTGTAAATTATGAGAGAGAGAAATAAGGGTTAAAAAATTGGAGAAAACGCTCGTGCAACTCCCTAAACTTGGCTGATAAAATCGAGAATGCAAGCCACTCCTCTGGGTGCTGAACGATATCCACCAAGTCAGTACTATCTGTCTCAAATTCATGGCACTCCATCTCTCGCTCCAGCATAGAAGACATCGCCCAAATCGCACAAAAACAATGATTCCTTAAGTCAAAAAAATTGACATTAATTATTTTGAAAAATCTAATTCGTGTATAAACCTATTTGCAAAATAGATTTAGCTACGTGCCAATTTTGTTTATCTATCTAAAACACAAAAAATATCATTATTTGTCAAAAAAAATAGTAAAAAAACAATGTTCAATTAAATTTAGTTACGTGTTAGCAGAGCTTTTATAAAATTTCCAAAATCTAATACCATTATTTTTAAAATAATAAAAGTCATCATAATTGAAACAGGAATAGAAAAAATTAATTATTTGGAAATATGTATTAAAATTAAATTAAAAATCAAAGAATTTCCAAAAAGACAAAAGAATCAAACTAGATAAATAATTAATAGGCCTCTCTATCAATGGTTGCGTATTAATATTTTCAAACTAACTTTATTTACTTTTATAGAGTGATATGATTTACTTTCTCGC